AATTTGGCAATAAATTTTGTTTTCCGCCCATTAAATGATCATTCAGTCATTGCCCCCAACAATTCCCAAATTTCATCCCCCGAGTGTCCGTAAAAATGCGTAAAGTCAACGAAACGCGATTACATCATCATCAACAAAACTCTCAGCCTCCCACAGTCCCATTTTAAGTGTTAAACTTGTCCTCATAAAAATGTCACTGTCCCCTAATCGTCATCAGAAGTACCAGACAAGCCGTGACAAAATTACTAAAGTCGTCTATTTCATGTTCTCGCATTGTGTAATTATTCCCGGTTGTGATAGCCATTTTCAATCCGAAGGAATCCCCGGAGTTTCCGTTTTTCAAATTCAGATCTTCACGGTGGGCCTTGAAGATGACCACATCTGCGGTCACTTTTGGGCCCAAAATCTATTGTTGAGGCTCGCGCCAAGTACAAAAACCCTAGCCCCAGAATTTTCAAAGGCGCATTCACCTGGGGATAAATAGAAAAGACATCTTTTGCTCTCGATTTATTCCCTTTTCTGTGTCGTCGCGCAATTTTACATGACCACCGGGACGAATTTACAATATTGGGCATTTATTTTCCCCCGGGGGACATCCTGAGGATTCGTTGGATCACTCAAGGACGAATGGGAATTATTTAAATTAATTCTGTCCTAAATTATAATATATCAGTATTTTGTATACGTTCTTAGATTTTTTCAAAGTTCATTCCTATTTTAATAATCACCTTACGATCAGGATAAATTAGGAAATGAAAATCAAAATTTATTTTGATTTAATTTATTGAAATGCCATTGAATAATAATTTTCCGTTTATTAATTTATTTTGAAATCAATACAATTATTGATTTCAAAATAAATTAACAAAACGAATTTTCCAAAGCCGAAATGAATTTTCCGCTCGTAAGAAAAATAATTTTCCTTTCAAATCGTGAACTAAAAAAGAGGGTATTAATTTTCTCGGACTTCCCTTTTCCTAAAATGGTAAAAAACCTCGAAAAAAAAAATCCCTCCACAATTTTTCATGACTCAACCCCGAAATGACACTCATAACCGACGATGACTGGAAAGAAAATCCCAGAAAATCGAAGGAAACGCACGCGCCACTCCACAACCGCAACCGATTTATTCTGTCGGCACACCGATGTTTACCCAGGGCTTCTGAAAGGCATTTTCCAGGGGTGAAAAAAAAAAATTGCCCGTCGCAAAGAATAGAAGATTTCATTATGCGAGTCACTCCCAGTGCTTCTACGAATAGACAATGAATTCCCCCTGCGGAGGCGAATATTTTTATGATCTGTCAACATTTGGTCCCAAAATCTGGGGTGGAGACACGCCCTTTTCTCATCAAGGACCCGAGGGACAACTGTCCGATCATCACTGGCCCCTAAGATATCCAAAACTCTAGAGGCATATTAATGATTCTATGATGATGTCCGCGGGAAAATAGAGTCCATTTTACACTCCGTACACCGGTATTTTTTTTTTTATTTTCGGGAAATTATTTTGACGGGAGAATTTTTTACTCGAGAATTAATGATCCGAACTGTCACACCAGTATTTCTTTCCTGGGATTTTCTTAAAAAGAAAAATATTGACAAAACACTGATTTTTTGTCTCGATTTTTTATTTTATTTGGGGAACTAATGATCGCCGATCGTCACCTTTTTTTCATTAGATTTCACTTTCTTGTGAAAAAGAAATTAAATTCAGGTTTTTGTGCTTTTTTTTTTCTCGTACAGAATTATTACCAGGCGACAATTTCTCACGGTAAATAAAAATTAATGATCGCGAAAATTAATTGTCTTTCTTTCGTTGAGTGAAATTTGGGAATTGAGGAGTCGATTTTTCTCGGTTACTGAATTTTTCCGGAGTTTAGGGCGGTATTTTGGCACAGGGATTGCCTGTAACAATTGATTAACATGATTTTTCTTCATGCGAGGGTCAGCCATTCCTTTTATGTCGCGTTCTTGGGAGATGTTCAAGGTTTTGCTTGACAAATCGAGGACTTCCGAAGGTTGATGTTTGAAAATCGATCATTCTGGGTTCTGACGGGTGATTTCTGGGTTTTACACTCCAAATTGTACCAAATGTTTTGATTTCATTGGTTTCCGGAAAACCACCTCGTAAATTTCAATGATTGATACCGATTTCACCCCAATCCAATCCTCAAATATTTCTCATTAACATAATTCAATGAAGAAATGATAAACTATGATAACTGAATTTTTTCCAAGCCCAGTTTCTAGTCAATATCTCAGAATTGAAAGAACATAGTAAATTTTTTATACATATATTTTTTATAAAAAAGGAAGAGAGCTACAAAAAAGGTGTCTATGAAAAAATCGTTAGCGTCCTCCAATTTCGAGATATCAGCTAAAAACTGCTCGGGAAAAAAGATTCACGCATCCTAGTTTACCACTTCGCTACAGAATTATCGGTAGTCATTACCGATATTAATAATTTTGCATATTTTTCATTGTCGCCGATTTCAATTAGTTCACTCGTTTTCTTACGACTTTCTTTTCTGCACTGAAAAAAAAAAACAGAGTCAGCATCTGCAGTGTTAATTTTTCCCCCGATTTTTAAATTCCGGGGCCCAATACTACCGGTCAGTGTCTAGAATACAGTGCGAACCTATTCTTTCGTGTTCTTTCACCCAAAGACTTTGATCCTTATGGTTCACGAGGCACAGATAAACGGGGGGATGAATAAAAGAAGTCCACACACGAAAAAAAAAAAATAATCTGAATTAGACGGGAATAAAATCCGCATTTCCCACGAATTGGTAGAGGGGCCCCAGGGGTTTTGATGGACCCAGTGATGAGACAGTGACGGGATACGTCAACGGGGACTTGGAACCCCCGGGTGACAACGATTCAATTTCTGACGTTGGCATTTTAAAAGTTGTTTGAATGAACTTGATACTAGTTTCAGTTACTTATTTTTTTATTCGGGACCCGATCGATAGTCTTCCCCTCAAAAGAGCTCCTAATTTTAGCTCAATTTTTCATGCAGTAAAATAATCCACAAATATTTCCCATTGAAAAAAATTACGATGTACTTCAACTCAATGTTTTATAAACTAGATATTCTCGATAAACAATTTCCATAAAAAAATATTTAATCGATTTTCAGACTCCAAATATTTTGTGGAAAGATTTTAGTCCGTGAATTGAATTTTATTGCGCACCCATCTGGCCCCGCAGAGCTCATAAAATTACTTCAAATTGTTTATTTTGCTTGTTCGGTTCAGGAGAAAAAAATTCTACCAAAATATATCACTGGTTTGATCAAAGAAAAAGTAATCCCGGCTATTACCGTTTTTTGCGTTGATAAATATTTCCAAAAAACCCCCGACAGACTTTCGCCCGGTAAAAAACTCTATTCACCCCTATTTCTCCCCAAAACAAACAGACCTGCCTCATAAATATCACATGACCATGAACTGAGATAAAAAATACATTTTATTGCATTAAAAGAAGATAAAATCCCCAAAATATCGATTTAATTATTTCCGTAATATTTCGCAATTCTTAATTACACCAAAACCCGTGATTTATTCACTAATAAAAAAAAAGACATAAATTAAATTGAATTTTCCATTCCAACGGAATTTTGAAGAAATTTTATATTCGTGTAAAAAAAAAGAATTTTGTGAAATTCAAAATTTTTGCTTTTTGTTAATTTTCTTCTTAAAAAATAAAGTGATGAGTAAATCGTTGGTCAAATGAAAAATTGAGATTTTGCCAGAAGTCGTCACCCCGAAAGAAGCGGTAAATGCATTGGTGCAGACCCGCGTAATAATTTTCGTTGTGCATCGCGACGTGTCCGCCGTCAGAGCGCCGCGACGCTCCCGTCCATCTCGACGCCCCGAAAAATTTAACAACCAACCCATCACCTCCCCCAACCATCCCTCAACCCTCTTCAACAATAATTTAATCATTCCAACAAAGTTATCCCCAAGAGTGCCGTACTAAGCCCTCAGCTGTCGTCACTAATTCCAATTTTCTTTTCCGTTTGCCTATCGTAAACGTCTAAATCGGCTCAGGTTTTACGACGAAATCGAATAAATCCGGAGTCATAAAAACTATTGCATAATACTCACACACTGAGTACTCGGGTATTTGGGATTATTTCTGAATGGAATGCATTTGAGGCAAGTGGATGGTGTATTATGTTTGGAGATGGTTTTAGATAATTCGAGAGGCTTGTGAAATCCAATACTGACCGACACATTCACTCGAAATCCGAGTGGCGCCGGTGGTAAAAACTCGATTTTACTAGCGGGATAAAATATTTAACCGCAAAAAAATGGTGGTAAAAAAATTGCAGTCGAAACGAAATAATCACTCGAATTTTAGAATTTCCGAAGGATTTTCCTTTTTTTATTCCACCCACGGTTTTTTTAATGAGTTATTGATTCGAGAGTATTATTTCCTATCGTTTAAAATAGTTTTCCATCCTTAATTCAATTCTTTTTTTAACAAAAAATTACCTATTCATAATATATATACTTGAAGAAATTTCAAATTTAATTTTATTAACTGGATTCAATGTAACAATTTTTTTTGCACGCTAGTCAGCTGCCAAAAATTTGGAATTCCCAATTCCTCAATCGAATTGATCATCTCAAATAGAATTCCCTCCTCCCCACATGGTCATTACCCCCCCAATTAACGAGACCCCGGGGGAAAATGAGTGGATAAGTACCAATGAGATCCGAAACCGGGTGGAGCCAAAATCTAAATCTCCACCCACTGTTAAACCGCTCTATTTCCCGCGTCTCAAACGCGAGCAGATGATCTCAGAGACACGCGTAGAAATGAGACAGTAAGAGACGAGGGCCGAGGGGTGGCCGAATACGTCAGAGTGAGAATTCTGAGACCTTAAGTACGTCTTAACTCCAAAGTCAGTTGGCATTCTGCCTCCCAGCGCACGCGTCCACATGAAATAATTCCCAAATTAATTTACGAATTCATCTCCATTTAATTTGCACTCGCCCCCTCCACCCTAGAGTGGAGCCAAGTGCCACGAAAAAACCATTGACAACAGTCCGTGGTAAATTGAATCTGCCATTTGAATAATTCGATTAAACCGTGAAGCACGTGATTCGTATGAATAACAAAGAGACATATCGAGAATTTTTGATGGAATTATTTCATTTGGGACCCGCGTTTTCCGGTGATTACCATAATTTGATGGATGCCAGGGCCCCGAAATGATTTCGCGTTGTGAATCGTTTAAATTTATTCGGAGATTATTTATGTGGATTTATTTTTTATCGGGATGATATTGCTTGAGTGGTGAAATTTAATTGAGGGAATTGAGGGAATTGAGGGAATTTTTATTATCTTATCGGCAAAATGTTGGACAATGAGAATTCGGTGATTCCTCCACAAGTGTCTAATCCCCACGTACCTCAGGATTTCACGGTATCGAGACTGCTATCGACACCGTCCCACACTCTCGGTAATTATCAGTTTCATTAATTTCCGGCTGAGAAAATCGAGAGGGCTGTTAATTAATTTCGGCTGAGCGCCAGGAGATTATGAGTCGCGTAATTAAAAAGCTGGGGGAATTATCGAGTTGATGGGAAAATCGTCGGTGGAATTTTCAATTTTCCGGTACTCCGGGTTTAGTCTGGAATAATTGCCTTTGTGGAAAATTTTGAATTCCGTGGAATGAATCCAAATATTCCGGTTTTAAATTCCGATAGGAGATATAAACAAAATAAAACTCCCTCCCTTTCATTTCACGATGAAAAATCGAAATTTATAATCCCCTCGATATATTTGGATTAGAAAATACAGATCAATCGATCATAAATTCAATAAAGTCTATTCCATTTACATAATATCCGTGCAATTTCTCCCCGGGGAATTAGGAGGGGATATTTAAATCTTCTATTCAGTTTTTCGTCTATCCATTATTCTTGGGGGTGTCCAAAATATAAAATGGGGATGAGGTCAATACACTTTTGAATATTTTAATATTTTTATTCAATTCAAAAAACAACTTTTCAATTTACATAAATTTTCAAATAAATACAATTAACCACACATCTCCCAGATTTCTCGATAATTACTTTAATAACCTCAAAATTCCGGTAATTTTCAGAGAATTTTTTATTTTCTTCTATTGAAAAGTCAAATCCTCTTTATTTTATATAGAAATATTTTAAAAATTGTCGTCCACGCGGGGAGTGACAATCCAAAAATACCATATTCAAATCCCTCCATCAATTAAATGTCTGATCCGATTGTCAATTCCTCTCAAATTTTTCCTGAAAATACCTCTGAAATCGACTCGCAGTCCCATAATCTCCAAAACCCCATCAAAATCGCGTAAATATCCGTGAGACTTCTCCGAGGCGTTTGATTGGCCCCAAATACCGCGTCATGCTGCTCGTATTATGCCGCTTTGATGATTGCCCAAGCACAGTGGGTGCCATTGAGAAAATCCGCGTGCCCTCCCTTTTTGCGTACCACTGAATCGTTGTTCGTTAAAAGATCTTTTTTTATTTTAACGCTCGACTTACCCCAGTCGGCGCGTCGAGTGTTCTCGCCTCAGCAGAACAGACCGTCACGAGTCGAATGCAGACACCCTCTGGCCCATTTGCTACCACAATTCCACGATTCAGTGATAACTATTCGCCTGACAAGAAATATACGTAAAACATACCGATACCCATCGATCCCACGATTTTTAAACAAAAATTAGAGGGGTATCTACTGGGACGTGAGTGGGGTGGGTTCAATCAAGGGGTAGATGACACGTTGTTAATTATTAGAAATTAATTTCTCAAGAATAATCGACTCATCTGATAATTCAACGGTTTATTTAATAAATCGAGCCTTCGTTCGATCCCGGAGTGATTTAGTGTATCGTTGAATTATTTAGAATTATTTAATTATTTATTGAATTATTTTTATACATAGAATATTTCAATTTTTCGATTAATTGGGATATGTACCAATTTCGGGGTCTTATATTATCCGGATCAACGGAGGAAATCGTATTTTTCGGATAATATGTAGTTTACCCCCGAAATTTCATCCCCCGGGTTTATATTTAATCTTCGCGGACGTTTCTGATTGGGGGGGAAATCCGAGGTTGTCCTAAAAAATTCGTGGGCATTTTTTTCCGGTAATGATTATGAGCTTTTTTTATCTCTGCATCGCGTGCAGATTGCAGCGACACCAACGGTGGGGGCCGCAGACCGAGGCGGAGTAGAACGACATTTTCTGCCCAGCAATTGGCGGCCCTCGAGAGGGTTTTCGAAAGGACGCATTATCCTGATGCATTTGTTAGGGAGGAATTGGCAACTAGGGTTTCCCTATCCGAAGCGAGGGTTCAGGTATCATAATTCATGATTTATTCTGTCTTCACGCTTTTGCGGTGAATTTTTTTTCTTTGCAACTAATAACCTAACAACTGGGAAACTGCTTTCGGCTTTGTCCATCCCTCTTCAACAAGAACACATTAATTAATAACAATCAATTAATCCATGACTTGACGAGTGGAATATTTTTTGGAATTATCGTGGAGTTTCCGGAAAAATCGAGGAAAAAATTAAAAATTAACGAAACGCTTGGAAAATGAGAAACAATTTGCAACAAAAAAAAAAGGATTTTCGGTGTTTTTGGATTGACTACTGAAATCAAAAACTAGAATTTACGGATTACTTGAGGAAGTTTGTAGTGGGAAGTAGAATAATTGGCAATGAAGCAATTTGTGGAATAATTTGTCACTTCCCATCGGATCGCGGCAAAAAGTAACAAATGGAGTTGGAGTCTTTCGAAATGGATCAGACACGAGCGTGACAACTTTTTGGCAGAAGTCAGGGAGATGGGGGAGAGCTGAGGGGGTGGTGGACAGTTAGGCAGAAAATCAGAGAAGACAGGTTGTCAGGCGGACTAGCTATGATTAGCCTTGCAGTGGCACTGGCTGAATATTCACGCATATGCTTGCACAGGCGTGTCGGGATAGTCCGGAGCACGTGTGCCCACGGGCTTTTCTCATTCCCCTAAAATCCGGGCTCATCCTCATTCTCTTGTGTGGCACGACTGCCAGGAGCCGTCACGCTGTCCCGTCGTCGCTCGTATCCGCTTCTTCTTCCTTGCAAAAAATCAGAGGCCGAATAAAAAGGGAAAATCAGATTTAGCATTCAAAAAATGAGAGACATGAAACGAACGAAGAAATCCTCGGATATCTCGGGAACACCAGCACTTACAGGAATTATTTATTAACATTTTCCCGAGAGAATTTCATGATCTACAAAAAATCTTAACAACATTTCGCCACGAGCCTAATAATTCTCGAGATAATTAACAAAACGCTGATTTGGCCTGAGTAACATAACACGACTACTAATCGCTTAACCACTTTCGCCGAAATATCTGGAGGAGGAGTTGTCAGATCGAAAAATGTTATGGGACATTTTTTGTGGGGAATAGCATGCCCTACAAAAAATCTCCCGAGGCCTTTCCTGGCAGATCCACCAGTTCAAAAATATGGCCAGGCGAAGACAGACGTCATTGAAATTTTTGATAATTATTCAGGTTTGGTTTCAAAATCGTCGGGCGAAATTCCGCAGAAACGAGAGGAGTTCCGCCCTGAATCGGGGTGCATCGTCGACACGTGATATTGAGACAACTCTGCCGTTGAGACCTATCAGGATAGCCCACACCCATGAGACAAACACTGAACCACTGCAGTCTGGACAAGTGCCTCAATATTCCTATAGCGATTACTGGCGATCACCTCAGGCTTACGGTGGAGTCCAGAGTGCAGCTAGTTGTCACGGTTTCGTTAACGGCAACCTGAGCGCCACGGGATTCACCTCTTATCACCAGACAGATGTCCACAGTGGGATTGAAGGGGGCATGAATGGATTAAATGCACTGAGACTTCGGAGTCATCCCTACGGAGCTGCTTATTCCGCAATGCATGCCAGTATGTGACAATTTTCCGAGGAAAAAATCTGACGTCAAGGATCCCCCGTCAAGAATTGATCGACCGAATCAAATCCCAAAGAGAATTTTGTATTTACAAATAAGGATTAGCTCTAGATATTTAACTACTGAGGAAATCCCAGGAGCTACTGTTTCTGTGTTTACTTTCGTGCCGAGTGGTTGCTCGCGAAAGTTCACTGGAACTTTTTTGCAGAGCATCGAATTTTTTACAGAAAATGATAATAACATTTTCTTGTAAAACCATGTGGTATTGAGATCGAAATTTTAATGGGAAGGAAGTATTTTTGGAGTGATTTTTTGTGTGGGATTTCTTCAGAAAAACACAGGGTAATATTGAATGAAAATTCAATTTATATCGAACATCGATTTTATTATCGTGGCCAGTGGCCCACGTAAAAATTACGAACATTGTAATCAATAAAAAGGAGGAATGAAGTAAATACACATGTAAATATCGGAGATCCACAGCGAGATATCCTCGAAACTGGGGTAAATTCATTGCGACAAGTTTAATTACCTGTCAAAACCGCCCGCTTCCATCCAATCGAGTATATTTGGCACATTAATTCGAAATAGTCAACACGAGTCTCTTTGGTTTCAGAAAAGTCGGATCGAAATAGTGTTTAAACAGCCAAAATCATCAGATAAACATTAATTACAAAAAAATGGAATTTATCTCGGTGAAAAATGATTTTACGAGAAAACATCACAAGATCTCATATCCGGAGGATAAAATTCTCCTCAAAAAATCTCTTACTCAATTTCTTCCCAAAATCACCCAGTACCAAGACAATCCGCAATGAACGATCCCTGGATTCCGAACATTGTTTCAACAACCGACGATGACCTCAATGCCTAATTATTTAATTATTTCGGTAATGAGTGCTCCATTGAAAAAAATGAATACAACATTTTTTTTCGGTGATGAAATTCTCCGCAAAAAATTCCTCTGAAATTTTTTCGTAAAACCATTTGTTGGGGAGATAATGGAACTGCTCTTCAGACAGTAACAAGAACGTTTTGTACAGCATTACTCCATTCGACTTTCGATGGCACCAGGTAAAAAGCCGGCGCAATTTTCGTGCTGCATGGGCACTGGCAACCTGATATCCAGCTGAAGGATCCAAGTTTTGCCTCGCACTTAGGACAATTGAGTTTGCCCTCGACGTTGTGCAGGATGTCGGGCATCCAGGCGATGGGCTCGATGAAATAGATTTTGTCGCAGAGTTGGTCAGGTCGGGAGTCCTTGACCGGAATAATTTTTCCCTTGTCACCTCTCCGACTGACGTAACGCCAGACATGCCTCTGACCTGGTGCATGGGGTAGGATATTGCTGGCAGTTGCAACTATCCTCCGGCACTTCTTGCAACGGTAGACCGTTGGCTCTGGACGGACTGTTTCTAGCGCTGGATCCGGTTTTATCAGATCCACATAAGTTGACGGGAGAATTCGGGCTTTTCGGACCTGGGGGGTGCATCATATTCATAATACTCTCGGGGACATTCCATTAAATATCATTCAATTAATTTCACTTGCTCTACGTTAAATTTATTTATACATTTATTTTATTGACTCTGACGACGGAATTTTAGAGGAATATCTGGGGGAATTCTTATAGATTTTTCTTCGGGAAAAATCTAATAGTGATAATTCTCTATTAATTAACATTTCAATTGATAATCCTCACCTTGTCAGCAGCAATTTGCAGTCTATACATCTTAAACTGCACATTCCTGGTGTCAATGGTGCACCCCATGTCCCCGTAAAGTTTGAGTTGAGCTACGAACCCAGAATTTGGACTGACAAATCGTCTTTTGGACTTGACGACATCCAGGGCGACGTCGAACGTCATCTCGTACTTCTTCATCATGTACGCGATGACGAGAGTCGACGACCTGGAGACCCCGAAGTAACAGTGCACCAGGATTTTTCCCCCCGAGGTGAGGGCCTGATCGATAAAATCGTGGGACTCATCGAAGTACCGGAGAAAGTCCTCCCGTGGCATGTCCGTCAGCTGGATGTACTTGACAGTCAAGTCCGGGAGGAGTTGAATCCTCCTGGGGAGGGGGCACGAATCGACCGTCAGGATGTGCGTGATTTTAGTGTCTTTCAGCCATTTAACGTCTGTTGCTGCTGTCAGGTTGCCTAAGTATAAGCTCGGCTCGATTTCGTCGGCACTTGACGGACCTGCGTCGAAATCTTCGCGGGTTAATTCGGTACTTTCATGTTTCGCCATTTTTCACTTTCAGCTTTTGGTCCTGGAATTTTGGAGAATTTTTCGTGAGAAATTATTCCAATCAATTTTTCCATTTATTTATTAATTACAATATGGAATTAGTAAAAATATAAAAAAATCCCAGATCGAAGATTTTTAATGATAGTCAATAATTAATTAACGGGTAAATCATCTCCAGAATTTCCGGAATTTCTAGCTGGAATAATTTTCCCTTGATTTTTATCACTTCATCTCCCGTCAAAGAGTGTTCTGATCGATTACTCACGGCTCCGCTAGGATATAAATACTCCCGGGTCTAGCAGCCCTCAACCCTCGGCCCTCAACCCTCGGCCCTCAGCCCTCAATCCTCACCTCTGCACAACCCTTTCACTCCACCATCAACGAATTCCTCGAAATACCGAGAATTTTCGGTCCAAAATAATTATGTCACTTCACAAACACGTGCTCATCAATAACATCTACGACCTCTACTGGGTCACAGGGTTCCCAATCGACCTTCACCCACATTCACCACCCACCCCTCACACACCCCCTCGTTCCCATTTTTCGCCCAAAAAATTCCAGAAAAAAAATTCTGAAATCAAATTTTAATGGATTAGACCATAATTCTAACAAAAAAATCAACTCCAGCACTCCAGAATCCCCGCACCATCCAAAATAATCAACAAATACCTCACATGGTCCAAAAGTTCCCCTTCCGGTGGTTCCTGGAACTTCCTGGAACCTTACCCCATTTCCATCGGTAAATTCCAAATCGCACTGATCAAATTCAATTGCGAATATCTCGAAATCGGTAGAGTGAAATTTAACGAGGAAGTAAAAGAAAATTTAGATAATTTTATAATCTTTAACACGAGAGGTCATTTATTGAAATCTGATCGTTACATTCCGCGATATCGATCATTTTATTCCGACTATTTCTGTTTCATCAATTTTCACTCCTCTAAATTCAGTTTCGGAGTTACCGACACGAATTAGAGTGAAAATGAGCTTTCTTTTTTTACCGCGAAGTGCGAAGGCGTCAAATCGCCGATCGGTAAAAAAAATCCCTACCGCAGGGTGCATACAAGTTTTCGAATGAAAAAAATTTTAAACTCCAAAAAAAAAAGTGAAAAATTGTGGAAAGCCAGCCGACGACCTCGAGGATCTTCTCCAGAAGGTTGTGCCCCATGGATTCCTTCATCCCCATGTCGACTTTCTCACACCTCGATTTACCCTTATCTTCCCCCTCACTCCCCATCAATTTCTGAACGATGGCGACAGTCGATTGTGCACTTCCCGGTGATCCTCAGTCTCTCAGGATGTCCTCTAAGCAGCTGAGAGTGAAGGCTCAGGAGTTCCTCACCTCCAGAAAATACGCCAACAACTTGGTGGACATAATAAACCAATTGGACGTGAGTACTTCACCAGAAATATGAATTTTACTCATTTTTTTTAGGTTACGAACAGATTTTTTATGGTTTTTCGTAGGATTGCGGTACACTAGGAGTCCTCACCCTCGAGACTATCTTCCTGGAGCTCCTGAAGAGAGGGGACATGTACCTGGAGAGGACCATCTCATTGACGATATCAGGTATTTATTTTTTTAATATCTTTTCTGGGAGTCTGGAGACATTTTTGGTCCAAACGAACAGAATCAATCAATTAATTCCATTCTGAGGATTTTTTTAATTGATTTCGGGTCTGGGGGAATATTTGGGGCTCTCTGAGGGAACATTTCAAAAGGATAACGTATTTTCAGAGTGCTTTAGTGCACATGCACTGGGAAAATCAATAATCGATAATGAGGTGATATGAAGCTGTTGCAATTACTCTTAATTGCGGAAACGATAATTAACTGGAAAATTGATTGACAGAAAATTTTTTTCGATAGAAAATTCCCGGAGAAAAAATATTCCTGAATATTTCTCTGAGAAATAACCTCTGAAAACAAATAAGACAGAGAAAAAAAAATCGGGGAGAAATACTCGATGGGAATTTAATCCATTCAAATTAAATTCCAATGAACTTTTCAACGGAAGAAAATTCATCCTTCCTTTCGTTTATTCGTAAAGTTTTAAATGATTTTTAGAGCCAAGTCCAGAGCTGCGCTACACCACGTGGCTGCGCAGCTGCTACGAAGACCTCTGGGAGAAACTTTTATCCTTCATCTCAGACTCTCGTCAATCTCTGCAGCTGCAGTCGCTCTCGACATCCCTGAAGCTCCTCTCCCAAGAGGGAAGAACTCCAATTGAGCCAACGGGGGACCTATCCTACTACTTTCCGCTGCACCGTCTGAAGCCCCTGCTGATGCGCCTGCTGTCCCCAGACCGTGACAACGTGGCACTACTCTCTCGCTTTCAGGAGATGTCATCCTACCAGGACGCGCTGTACTACACCTGGAAATCGCTGCCAGCACTGACACCGAAACGTCAACCTCCAGACCTCTTCATAAAAAATCTCCTGGAGCTACTAGACAAAATTCCACTACCAAAGGACGAAGAGATCCCGCAGGAGCTGCTGTGTGGTCGCCCTGACAGCAGTCCCTTCGCCTGGGATCAGCTGTCAGTGAGAAGAACATTGAACAAAACTTGGTCATGCGTCATGCACTGGGAGCTGTCTCCCCAGCTGCACAAACACCTACTGATTGTTCTACTGGAGAGGATAATGCCCCACCTGGAGAAGCCAGTGCTCCTCACGGACTTCTTGATGGACTCCCTGGACGCCGACGGTCCCATAGGACTTCTCGCTCTTCAAGGTGTCTTTCTACTCGTCACCAAGCACAACCTGGAGTATCCCAACATCTTTACGAAGCTCTATTCCATGTTCGAGCCGGAAATATTTCACACCAAGTACAAAGCAAGATTGTTTTACTTGTCTGATCTATTTCTCAGCTCGACGCACCTCCCAGAGGCTCTCGTCGCCGCTTTTGCAAAAAGACTGGCTAGACTGACACTCGTGGCACCTCCAGAGGACATTCTCATAATTCTGCTATTCATTGGAAATCTTTTACTGAGACATCCTGGCTTGAAAAGACTCATTGATCATCCTGGAGGTGGAATTGCATGTGAAAGGAACTCTGGAGTTGGCGATCCTTTCCTCATGGAGGAACGCGATCCTCTCCAGAGTAATGCCCTCTCCAGCAGCCTCTGGGAGATCAGGGCACTGCAATTTCATGTCCTGCCCAGTGTGGCCACTGCTGCAAGGTTTATCAATGATCCTCTACCCTCTGTCGAATATGATATGGCCAATGCCCTGGAGAGAACTGGCGGTCATATTTTTGATAAGGAAATCAAGAACAGAGTTAAGGATATTATGCTCACGTTTGAGAGACCCTCTTTGGGGGTCTCCAAGGGTGAGAGACTCGCACAGTACTGGCAACTCACCATGCGTTGAGAGAATTATTCAGTAGTCGAGTGATGATGGGATTAGTCGAATTTAAGGTTTACCTTTATTTTTGATTTTGGCATTTTGACAGAAAACCAGCGGTTTTAAGATGAAAACCAATAGAACCTTTTTTGGGAAGGATTAAATTTTGAGTCGAAAAGGTCCTATTGACTTTCATTGAAAAATCAATACTGGGGGCGATACGTAAAGGCTTGTGAATTTGAATTATCTCACTTTACCACTTCGCTACTGAGTTATAATTGTTGAATTTTTAGGACCCATCCGTCGGTAGGATTGGGTCAGACCTCCGCGAAGAGTTCGTGAGATGTTTGATATTTTTCGGGAATTCTCTCGTTGTACCCCGGCGTGAGGAATTTTCGTTTATAGAATTTTTTATAAATTCCTAAAATCGTGCGATACGATTTTTGATTGATACGGGGATTGATTCAATTCAGTGAACGATTGAAAAACGTCAGACAAAAAAGATATGGTTTTTTTTCTTTCATTACTTTTCACCTTTCTACCGGTGGAGTAATGAATCCCCTTGATTTCGTTATATTTTTTTTTGTTTAGAGGCTTTCCCTTTTTGGAGTACATTTAAGTCAGACTACAAATACAGGAATCGATTCCCTGATTCATAAAGCCCATAATACCCCACATATTGGATAGAAGATTGCATGGGGCGAATAATTTTGAATATAAGGTAGATAGGAGCGAGAATAAATTGACGAATTACCGGCCCCAAAGCAGAAAAACTGATTTCTTATAGTTTTTTCTGGTTTATATTTTGTCTCGAAGTGAATGACATTTTATTAAAAAATTTTTCTCGTTGAATCTTCGGATTTTGCAATTCTTAGAGGACGACATTTTTGTTGATTCGAGTGCATTCACTCGTTTCATTATACCATAATAGTTGGAGTATGTGCACCCACATAATGAATTATTATCGTGAGAAACTAGTCGATAGTTTGTACGATCGTACATTTTTTTCGTCGGAGGGGAATCCCAGTTGCACCTCTAGTGCCAAAATAAATTGAACACTTTTGTATCTATTATTATTAGAGTGAATAAAAATACACTTGTAATTGGAGAATAGAGTTTTCTCTCCTCTGCCTCTTACCCTAAACTAATTATGAAAATAGAAAAATTCTGAAACTGAATATAAAAATGAAAAGAATTATGAATCATTAATACTGAATGCAAATGACTCCATTAGCCAAATCATTGCCAGCGTAAATTAAATCCATCGAAATAAATTAATTAATTAATCACCCGAAGGAAGAAAAGGAATTCCTTCAATTACAGAACTAAAATCATAAATTGACTAAATTAATAACCTTCGAATTAATTTCTTAGAACCGAGAGTTCTAAATAATACTAATACTAACACAAATACTAATAGCTCTTAGTTTTAAATCAGGAGAATGAGTGGAGAAAAATTCTCTGGCCTCTGCCACGAGTTTAGGCTATCCCCAACGTCCAGAGTCAATTGTGAATTCTTGTTACGGAATTTTATGGCCTCGGAGGCACTCTGGAGGAAGGAACTCATGTCTGCAGTCCCCTGGGCCTTGAGGTGCACCAGATTTTGAGAATTTTGGATGAGAACATTGAGGCCCTCGTTGTCGATCCCAGGGCAGTGACTGCAGTTCAGATTTTGAACTTGAAGCTGATTTGTGATGGCCCTGCTGGTCACCCTGGGCAAGTTCTCCATGTGAAGAGTCTCCAGGTGTTTCAAGGTCGATATAGCCCTGAAGGAGAGATTTGAGAGACTCTCCAATCCTGCGGAAATGAAAATTCAGGACTCGGAATGAAATTAAAATTAATTGAAGTGGTAATGAAAAATTTACCGTCCAGTTTCAAGTCTCTCAGCTTTGGACAGCCCTCGACAATCTCGCAGATGTGATCATCATGGATTGATGAAGGGTCCAGTCCTTCTATTGCCTTCCGCTTTAGCTCCAATTTCTCCAGTCTAGAAAACAACTGGATCTTCCTGATGCTCTCATCAGGCACGTGGCAGAAGGATAAATCTAGGGCTGTCAGATTTTCCAATTTCTCAAATCCCGAAAGACTCTCTTTTTCAATTATAAAATTGTTCAGAGAAAGAACTCGAAGATTTGGGAACCTCACGATATTCTAAACACAACAAAGTGACTCGTCAAATTTTCCAATGGGATAAAAAAAAAACAAAAATACGAAACCAAATACAATGCATCAACTCTCCTAAATATCTCAGTACCGACTGGATTATGAAATTCCCCACAAAAAAATCGTACAATGTTTTCGCCTTAACCCAGCGGCTTCCAAGCTATTTCTACGGATGAAAATTACTGAGATTCTCACAGCAGAAAAAGGACAACTTATGGCGTAAACCCAACTCCCAGTGATCTCCAGCCCCTGGAGTCTCTCTGGAAGTGCCTTGAGCTGCCTGTTGCCCACTTCCTCGTTGACGTGCATCATCACAAGCCAATCTATCTTCTTGAGCGATGGAAATAATGCAGACAAATTCTTAGAGTGAGTCTTCAATACAGAACGAAAGGCCCAACAATTAAAAATCAATTCGATCTTTCTGATGTGAGGGCAGTGCTTCTGGAGGACTTTCTGGTAGATCGACATCTGAGAATTCACCTCAATCCTCAATGATTTGAGGAGACGACCTGATCTGCGTAAAATTCTTGTCGCCTGTTTGATGTTTCCACCGAAATCTCTACATGTCAGACTGAGGGACTCCACATCTGGCCATCCTCTCTTACTTATTCTATACCAACGTTTGCAGACTGCAATCAGAATGATTAATTAATTAATCCCGGGCAATCCGCAAAGGGTTAATGAACTATCTCTAAATCAGTGAATCAATTAATCGACTGAAGGATTCTTTTGGCCTTTACCTCCTTCTACTTTTAACTTCTCTGCAATTTCCAGGAATGAGAAAATTTTTATTAAACAGTCATCAGGAAGATCTAGAATTGCCGGACTCGATGAGGTGTCATAATCATCAATTTGTTCGTTTATTAATGACTCTCCCATGTTGCTTTAATCCACATAAACATCAGCTATTACCTCAGGAATAAATTGAGGGTTATGTTCGATCTTTGACTCCACATGTCATTGAACCGGAAGTTGTGACCAGACTCACTTCCGGAAGTCTTTATCCGCGGGAGGAAATCGGTTTAATTGCAGTTGCAATTGCAGTCTCTCCTACTCAATCGAGAAATCGTTGGGAAAATAATTTTTCTCAGTATTTCGGGTCGAATACAATGATTATTCTATACGCAATCCACCGACGAAATATTACTCTGACAAATAAATATGTGAGAGAAATATTTATCTTTTAAATTAAAATCTATACAAATCCAAACATTTCATTCTCAAGTAAGAAAATGGAAATGTGTGAAAAATGGCTTTGAAAAATTGATCACTCTCAACGAACAGAACGGAATAGATCGCCGACAAAATATACCCATGTGAATTTTTCCATGGTTTATTAAGTTGGACGAGTTTTATCACATTTTTTCCCGGTCTATTTATTTTTTCTACCGACTGTTTTCCACGGAGGACAAGTAATTATTGGCCCTCGTGGAATCGTTATCACCTGACAATATCGGGAAAGTCATTAAGTGATTTTCAGTGCACCAAGAACTCGAGTCAACTGTAGATCTGCAATTTACATTTCCCGTGAGTGTTACTAAATTCAAGGCTCATCATGAAGGCAATTACGTTCTTCTTAATTACGATCCTGTCATATACATTGGCTGTAAGTAATATCTTTACATATCAATTTAACCCCTTCCTCAAATTTTCATACAAATACAAATGGTATTTTCGGGATATGATAAATTGTTTGGAATTTTCAGAGCCAGGAGGTGGACGTCAGGGCGTCTGTCTACGAGGTGAAACCGAAGATTAATCAATGGCTATTCATCACGACGTCTTCAGAGAAAACAATAGAGCAAGTGGTAGTCCAGAAGCCAATCACCGCTGATGATGAATTATCGGTAATTTACACAATTCTGCAGTTTCTGCTGGATGTATCGGGGTTTCGGGGAAAGAGCGACAATTTTATTAGAGCATTTTGTGGATTATATTATTCTCGACTGAAGATCTCTTATGGAAAGCTGCGCTATCTTTCTTCCCTCCTAGATATATACCAGAGAACAAAATACATACAACAATTGGGTGGGGATTTTCTAATTTTCGTCTGTTATATTTCGACAGATCGAGTATAATATCACTAACAAGGACGACAAGGTGTTAGGACAGGGTTCAGGTCCATTCTGTTCCAATCCTGCATCCAAGGACGGAATAATCGTCAGTCTGCTATCACAATTCTTGGGGATCAATCTGGAGTGTCCAGTAGAACAGGTAATATTAATCTCATCAGTTAAACATTTAGTTATAATTACATAAAGTGGAGCAATCGGCTGTGTTTCTAGATAAATTATTGTATTTTTTTTCGATTGTACTACAGAAACAAGTCGAGAAGCCTCCCAATATAGTCTCTGGGAAAATTGTTGTGGATGAAAATCCGGGAAAGCATAAAATCTTCATAGAAATGTCCATCAAAAAAGGTACCGCCTCTCTTATTACTGTAAGCGTTTCCGGTAGAGCCAGTGATCTCCAGTAATTTTCCGTGGAATCTGATAGATGTATTATTTAAATATTTATCCACCGATGAAATATTATCCTGACAAATAAATATTGGACACGAAAAAAATTCCATCTATTGCATTTACCATCATAGGAAATTTACCGAAATCTAAACCAGTCATCAATCTCGAAATATAAAAAAATTGAAACGTTGGAAAAATGGCTTTAAAAAATTGTTCATTCTGTGCGAATAGGATGGAACGACCTGAAAGTGATTTGAAGCGCATAAACAATTTTATGGCGTCAATTAATATGGCGGCCCTCATGTCTTTCGCTTCGTATTTTTGAACATTTATTAAAACTATTTGGTCTTTTCAAATTACCACCAATCCGTTTTATTCTGTTTCTACAAAATGAATAATTTTTTTAAACCATCTTTCTGCATATTTTAAACCATTTCAGGAGTGAATGAAAGGCTTCAAGTTTCTTCCTCATTTTAGTACTTTTCTCTCACTTTGAACACATAAGGCTGTATTCTGATAAAGAGCAATTATCGGAAGAAAAAACACATAATAGTAATTACTCGATAAGCAAAACCTCGAATGCGCCATTTTCTGATAGTTTAACCAGTCACGAGAGACACAACTATTTATTATATTTTAATTATCTACTGACTGATACATTTAATTCATTATATGAAAAAATTGCAAATTTTTTTTACCCTTTCTTCATAAAAATCGAGTAACATTTCCTTCTTTTCAAATATCAATTTTTCTCTTCGAAAGTGGTGTAATACTGAAATATCTTTATCCACTGTGAACCGATAACAAAGTGGATGCCCTTCAAAACGAAATTACTGCCGCTATCGTTAAATGATAGCGAAGACAGTAAAACCTCCGAATTTCCTAGAGCTGTGACATTTCGAAGAGGAGCAGTCATTCGAACAAAAAGAAAAGAAAGAAAATTATGAAACTGATTGCTAGCCTACTCGTCTCCCTCGTGGCCAGTGTCGTGGTAATTAATCTATTATATCCTAACTCGTTATTTGACATAATTAATAAAAAATTTCAATCGATTTTAGTGCGAGACGATAAATTTCAAAGGGAGCGTTGATCAGGTAAAGAAACAGACCAACCAATGGCTGATTGTCAAGAGTTCTGATGGCAAAAGAATTGAATCTACTACAGTCCAGAAAGAAATAACCGATGATGATGACTTAAAGGTAATTAAATATTATTTATCTCATAAATATTGAACACAGAAAAAATCAGTGAAATTCAGTAATTGTATGTGAGATTGATTCTCAAGTCGAAACATCAGATTTTTTTCCACACGGATTTTATAAATGTTAATAGGTGGAGTATTCATTCAAAGATAAAACGGATAAAGTGCTGGGTGAAAGTTCTAGTCGTCTCTGCACTGAATCTGACTCCGAAGAGGGAATGGTAATTTCCCTTCTTGGCTCTTTCCTAAACCTCGATTTAACATGCCCGATAGCCAAGGTAATTCATTAATTTATTTCTCTTGTCCAATTCGGAATTAGACAATCTGTTAATAATCATGATATCATTTTTTATTTCAGCAAAAGGGTGAAGAGGGAGGCGGAGTCCGGTCAGGAAAAATTGTCCTCTCCGAGAACCCTGGGGAGGGTACAAAAATATTTTTCGATATCTCCATTAAAAAGGGCGATACCGCCATTCTGACGCTATCCGGCTATGGAAGGGCCACCGCAAATAAAAATTAACGATTCACTCCCTCTCTTCATTGAATAATAATAATTTTATCGGGGATAAATTGAAGGATATGAACTATGATAACGCACAGCCAAATAAAAAGTCAGTAGAGACTATCTTCTCTTCTTAGAGAATTCTGAATAATACGAATCAACCCCCCCGTTGATCCCAAGGTATTAAAAACGCAATAATCATTCTTCATCATGATTTCATCTTTATTTTTTCTATGTACTCTCGGTCTCGATGATTCTGGAGAAGCCATAGTACATGTTCACTGGAGCGTCATCTCAAAAATAACATAATTACTCACAACAATCACTTAGATACTTCCAAAAAAAACATCTCTAATACACAAATTCGATAACATACTGTATGTTTTGGTAAAAAAATTTCGAAAATTTCTTCACGCAAGTGTTCTGGGAGTTGCACTGCCTGCAGTGCATTTAAAAAATACGACGTGAGTATAAATGCTCGTGATATGGACGTGTCTTTCATCTATTGGTTTTCCTGATTTGGTCACTGGAACTGTTGATTTGTGGGTAACACATGAATGAGGTTTCTTTATTGGGATTCTCATTTATTTCGTCACCTCGTGGATGGCGTGGGCGAGGTACTCAACATTTTTGGATGTTACCCCTGCCATCGATATTCTTCCATCTTTTGTGAGATAAACACTGAACTGAGACGTCAGTTTCTCCACCTGTGAAGTAACAATACCACGAAATTGAATTCAGAGATTGAAGACTATGAACGAATCGAGGAATAATTAACAACGAATTAACAGCGAGTTGACAACGAACCTCTGGTGCTTTGAGCCCAGTGAAACAGAACATGCCGATTTGATCGGTGATGTGGGACCAATCTCTGGAGCTGCCATTCTTCTTCAAATTCTCCCTCAACTTCGATCTCACCCCGATAATTCTGTCAGCCATACCCTTGACATCTCCAAGCCACTGCTGTCGCAATTGCTGATCGGACAGGATCTCATTGACAATTCGGGCACCACTGATCGGTGGATTAGAGTACATCGGCCTAATCAGGATTTTAATCTGCGACATGGCACGTGCTGCCTCGTCAGCAGAGGAACCGATCAAACTGAAAGCCCCAACACGTTCGCCATAAAGGCCCATGTTCTTGGCAAACGACTGAGCCAATAGAATACTGTGGCCCTCTTTCACGAAGAGACGAACCGCTGCTGCATCTCTCGCTACGTCACCTGTTGAATAATCATTTTCGGAGGATAAATAATGATTCAGTTACACCAATCGAGAACTCACCGGAAGCAAATCCTTGATACGCCATATCAAAGAATGGAAATAAATTCTTTTTTTTTATGAGTGTCGACAGTTCGGCCCATTGTTCTGGTTTTGGATCGACACCCGTGGGATTGTGAGCACATGCGTGCAGAAGAATAATCGATCTCTCAGGGATTTTCTGCGATAAATCGACGAGAGATTGAGGTGATTAAAAATAATACATTGATTTGACTGCCTCAAAATAAAATGAAATAAAAGTCTAATAACTCACAGAGATATCCTCCAAGACTCCCTTGAAGTCAAGCCCACAAGTGCTGGGATCATAATAACGATACGATTTGACACTGAGTCCCGCCAATTTGAATAAGGGCGTATGATTGCCCCAGGATGGAGTCGGGAGATAAATTTCCTTGTTCCCAGGGAAAAATTTGTTGAGAAAGAATGCACCGATGCAGAGGGATCCCGTGCCCGATATTCCTTGCACTGTGGCGTTCTGAAAATATTTATCAACTCAATTTAACATCTTACTATCTATTTTTATATTCAACGCTCGTTTGAATTAATCCAGTTTTTTCTCCGTAAACGGAAAGACTGGTTTGTGGAAAATTACCAGCTTGTTAGATACAACATCATTCCCATCTCCGAGGGCTAGATTAATACTATTCAAACAGAAATCAGGATTTCCTGAGATGGGGGAGTATTCCTTGTCCAGGCCCTTAGACCTCAGCTTCTCTTCGGCCTGAAAAATGGATAAAACAATTGCAAAAAATTCCACTGATTGTTAATTGAATGGCGGATGCAGACCTTAATAACACTGGGGAGTACAAAGGGTTTTCCATTGTCGTCCCGATAAGCCCCAACACCCAGATTTATTTTCTTGGGATTGCTGTCACGTTTGAAGGCCTCTGTCACACCCAGAATTGCATCCGGGGGTCCCATCTCCACGTGCGACCACCACGAGCTATTATTTAACAATTATCCATCATTCCTCATTATTATTTGCGGAATAAAACCATAGCTCAACGGAAAAACCCAGAAATCAGGTAACAAAACAAAAAAAAGAGTCGCACGATTTGTAAAGACTCTTGAACACAAATAATTGAATCAAGGCGAGTGATTGTTAATAGACAATTTATTAATTCCTAATATCTAAATGATGTTCATTGTTTATTCTAGATTATCCAGAACGAATTGGAGTGCTCTACAGTGAAAATGGAATTAATTAAATTGCACCGGGAGATTGTGAAATCCAAAAAAAATCAGTGCAACTCAATTTTTGAGGCTTCAATCACCGAACGAGGTTAATTGTTAATTAACAAGTACCTGGAGCGGTTTGTGGCAATTGCTGCCGCATGACTTCTTTTTAGAAGTAAATTGCCAGCTGCAAGTCCAAGTTTTCTGCACTGCGCCATGTGAGACACAAAATCAGGAGGATCTCAGGGAAAAATCTACAGAGCGAGTCACAAAAAGCCACTTGAATATCAGAAGAGATTCGCAACGCGTGAGTACACTGAGAATAATTATTTCTTCTAATCAAACTACTTCGTGTATTTAATCATAAATTTACTCGAAATAGTTTGATTTTTTTTTTAATACCTCGATATTTTCAACAGCTGTCTAATATATATTTATCTACTTGACAGAAATAATTTCTCAGTGCAGTACTCCCCGGATCAGATACTCCAAAAAGAATAGAACCAGTAGAACTGACAACGTCACACCAACACACACTCATTCCAATAGATCTGCCGCCATTTTTGTGCCCTCCAGGGGAATCCAATGACGATGGGCTAGAGGTTATCATCATTCAGAGCAAAGAGGATTGGCTAAAGTAGAAGCTCAGTTCAGGCGGTTTGAGTTACCCCGCCGGCCTCGTAGTATCTCACGCCAAGGGAGAGAGGGCACCACGCGCAATGCTGGGGTGTCTGCACGTCAGCCGACTCGGTAAGTGCCTCAGTAACTATCCCGCTGTCAGAGGGAGCAGTCGACTGCGTGTATGCTATTTTCTGCGTTACGAAATTGATTTTTGTTTTTTATTATAACGCAGAAAATGACATCCACCCCGTCAACTGGTCGAAATTTTTTTGCAAATTTTTTTGAAAATTTTTTGAGAACTTTTTCGAAAATTTCTTTGAAAAATTTTTCGAAAATTTTTTGAAAAAAAAAATCAGTAAATGAATAATCCTGTGCAGAATCATTCGGAATTTTTGTTTTTAATTATTAATCAAGGAATTAGCAGCAGTAGTAAAAGATTTATTTGAATTTCCCGCGGGTTTTTCGGAGTTGTCACGTGTCATTTCAAGACTTTTATGTAATCCGGTGAAAAATTAATAAATAAGACAAAAATTCCGGCTGTTTCAACGGTTTTATTTTCGCTCTCATTTGATTTTTCGATGTACAATTAATTGAATTTCTTTTGAGAATTTTCGAGAGAATATTAAATAGTTGAAACCGGTCAGGCGACTTTATTCGTGAATTTCTGGGAGGGAGGTGAATAGTTTATACATAACGTGGAGGTCACAGGTGCAAATTATCGCAGTTCTCCAGGTGAATGTGACAGTTTGGTGTTGTTACGGCAGTTTACTAGTGCGACGTTTAAGTTGGAGTGATTAGGAGTAATTGGGAGAGTGAATCATGGCCCTTACACGCATCGGACACTCCAGGGATCTTCCGATGATCCTGCGGAGACTCAATCATGAAGGTAATGGAGATTATCATTATTCTCATCATTTCCGCGATTTTTTGACGATGACAAGCCTCAATTTGCATCCACCCCCCCACAGCGTTACATTCATTCAATTTTCGTTCATTGCAATTACTAACTTCGTTCAATTCAATCAAAAAAATTATTAATATTAATATTAACAATACTGGCAATCATATCGAGAATAATAATAATAGATACAATAATAATAATAATATCAAGGATGGGGATAAGAATAATAATAACGCCAATAATTATTTTTTACATTTTTTTTTGTTTTTATTGATAAAAAAATACATAAAAAATAAATAAATACATTTTATTTTAAAATCACATAGATAATAATTAAAATTTTCACTACAATTTTCTCTAGCAGTCTCATACGTATTTGATTAATTGAAAAAAGACGAAAATCTTGAATTCCAGTGAAGGAAACGCGCCTGGACACACGTCACTGTGATCCTCGTCCCGCGAATTTCCATGTCTCGGGAATTCGGCGTTACCCGAAGGCTCCTTGTCTACCTCTTCCAGAAAATCTCTCCGAGGTTTTCAGCAATGAGACAGGCCGTTTTGCCCCGGAGAGGGTGCGGGATTTGGCATCTCCGATGATGCTGTACAGCGCCAACAACACCAACAAGAGCTGGAACAACTCCTGGATGTCCAGTTCCAGTCAGACATTCGGAGATACCCACGTGGATTCCTATGACTGCTTCGGTGCCATCAGTCTTAATGGAATTATGCAGACGAATGTGCCTCATCCTTGCAAATCAACGTTGAGAGGAACCCATATGAATATGCCTGGAGGCCAGTGGGTGCAGAGTGGAAAGTACATCGCTGACTACTTGCAGAATAATCATTATGACTTCATTAGGAAGAACTACGGGCGTACGACGAGTGAAAATGGTTCGTTACAGTGGTTCAACCACATTACTTTATGCACGATTTTTTTTTTATTAACTGGGGCTCATTAATATCATTGAAGCCAATAGACAACAATTAACAAATCCTAAAATTTCTTGAATAACGAAATTCTATTTTTGCTCTTCGCCATTATCTCTTCAATAACGAGATTTAGTAAAAAATGACATAAGAGACTTTTTGTGGAAAATTGAATTCTCTAGAAAAAACGTTATTTACCATTTTCCGTTAAATCCAGTTTTTTTCGAAATAATTGCGGAGCTGCAAAGCGTGCAAAATGAAACGATGAATTAATTCACTGAAAAAAACGTCTCGTTAATTACTGGATTAACTCCGGAGTGGAAGGTTCTAGAGAAAAATGCCAGAGAAATTTTTTAAAGACAATGAAGTTATCTTCAAAAAATGTTCATACAATTTTTCTCTAGATCCACTGATTTCCGAGATATACCTCACAATTTTTCGACTTTAATATCGGAAAAATGGATTGGGTAATTAATCACCAATAACGTTCCTCTTTTCCTCTCAGTAAAAATTGGTGATGGATGGTAATTTCTCAGGTTCCATACTCAAGGCTTATTACTCAACAAGTGCCGATATCCCGAAAGAATCGGAGAGCAACAAGAATAAATTAACTAAAGCCGAGAAACTCAAAAGAGCTGTCAAGGATTATGGCAGTACTGTCATCGTTTTTCACGTAGGAATTTCACTAGTCTCGCTTGGGGCTTTCTACACTCTTGTTTCTAGGTCAGTCGATATAAACAATCATCTAAAGAGCATAACTAACTCATAATTAAAGGGAATAAAGTCCCCAGTCAATTATGCAAGGAAAACTAGTAATTGTTCAATAATTAAAAAAAAACGTTTTACTTGTTTCAGTGGATTAGACCTCACGCCACTCGTCAAATTGATTCCCAACTCGAGTGAACGCTTCGAGGCAATAATGACAGGCTCATCAACATTTCTTGTTGCGTACGCAATCCATAAGGCTTTTGCCCCCGTGAGAATATCGATAACTCTGACTTCCGCACCGTTTATTGTCAGATATCTTCGAAGAATTAGAGTTCGAAAAATGCCGAAGACGTGACGGGATTCTCAAGTCCTCGATTGGATAAAAACAGTAAGAAATGCATGGTAATTATTATTTTTTATACGAAATAAAGAGCAACAACTGTCAATTGTGTACTGAATTTTATTATATAAAGAATATAATGATTAATTTTACACAGTTTCACGTTTAAGTAACATGCGACATCCGGCGTGTGCAGAAACATGAACACGCACACTGTCCACATAATTCTTTTTTTTCTCATATAATATATTTGAATCGTTATATTTTTTAATTTCGATTAGAATATAATCTTCAAACTCTCATAAGCGAATTTACTTACACAATACACCGATGAAGCTCGACATGTTTTGGATGGACGAATTGAGATTTCAGAGAATTAAAATTTTTTTTTCTCATTAGACAATTAAAAAATTAGAATTTTATGAGCAATTGAGAATTGAGAGTTGAGATTGATCTTTATTTTGAGCTTAACTCGTTAATGAGGTGTTATAGAAGAAAATACCACACGACCTTTTTTCTGGAGAAAATTGTCAACTGCAGAAAAGGTCTTTTGAGATTTTTTTCTATCTCCCCTCGTTCTCGATAAAAATGCGCACTCTTCCTCTGACATTGATTATCTTAATTAAAATGAGAAATTAATTCTTCATAACGTCAGATGGCTGATTGGTATTTACATGCATGATGCTTAAAAAATATTATAATACATAGCAAAAGTAAAGCGTTATGTACAATGTCTCATGAACTACCTCAAGTAGCCAAAAATTATCTCTGAATTACCTCTAGGAGTGGAGTATGACTCGAGGTATTGCGCATACAAAAGTCATCAAAAGTTATTATTTCTACAATTTTCGGTTTTTGAACGCGTCTAATCACCAATAAAAGTCTTATCTCGAGTATTTCTCTAGTTACTTAGTCACAAAATTAATAACTAATCATAAAATCAGATAGCGATAATTCTCCCGTCAATGAATGAAAAACAAGTTTGAATAACAAAAAAAATTAAATGAGGAACATTTTGCGGACGTATGATTATGCATAAACTTTGAACACCTTCAACCATTCAGTAATTTGAGCTGAGTTATAAAATTGGACCAATTTAATTCCGAGATTCTTAATGAAATTATAAAAAAATACTAGATACTTATGATATTAATAGTGAGCGTAATTGAATAACGAAATTCAATACCAGTTTTCGTGGAATATCTCCGACTGCGTTCGAGCTACCGAACGCACCATCACGACCTTTTTTGTAGTTTATAAAATTCGCCACGAAAAAGATTCAGACAAAAATCATCGCAGCTCTGATCAGTCCGGAGATATCAGAAGGGAAAACCGAGGATGAGATTTTTTAAGGTAAATTTCTAAATATCTTATTTAATCCTGATGTATTCTAGACGTACGCCTCGACACGTCGTCCACGTATGTGATTGAAGAATTGCCTCCAGGTGGTCAGGGTCTTGTTGGACCAAACCCAGAAGCTGCTGGTGATGCCGACGATCATGGCCATGAGGTACTTTATCATGAAAACTTCGAATTCAGGACGATATCCCACGTCTCTGGTGCGTTCACCCACTGGACATGGAATTGAATAAAGGGACTGTGGCACTGGTCTCGAGCACATCTCCATGTTCCAGGTGAGCATCCAGTGGTCGAAGTACGCCTGCTCGTAGAACAGACAGGCAATGACTATGAGGGCTGGCACTGTGTAGAGAACAGAGAATATTCCAATGCGAATCATGAGTTTTTCCAGTTTATCAGTCTTAGTCCCATCGTGTTTCATGACAGTTCGAATACGAAAGAGGGAAACAAAACCAGCGAGGAGAAATATCGTTCCCAGGACGAGGTACACGCAGAGGGGAGCCAGGACGAAGCCCCTGAGAGCCTCGACATTCCAGAGACCGACGTAGCAAACTCCAGAGAGAATGTCCCCTGAAAAATTTCACATAAAACGAACAATCAATAAAATATAATAATGGGAGGTAAGAGAAAATAGAATAACCACAAATATTTTTGAGGCTCTATTCTTACCTTCCACTTTTCCCATTGCCAAAATGGTGACAGTCTTTATGGCGGGAGCAGCCCAAGCTGCCAAATGAAAATATTGTGAATTCGCCTCGATTGCTTCGTGTCCCCACTTCAATCCCGCAGCCAGGAACCACGTGAGGGTGAGAATTACCCACCAGATGCTCGAGGCCATTCCGAAGAAATACAGCACCATAAACAGCAATGTGCACAACTCGTGTTTGGTCCCTTGAGTAATTGTCGACACCATTTGCACTTGAAACTCCGGAGGATGAGGGAAGGGCTCCTTGCAGGATATCGTGTTCTCTGATGCCCATCCTACGACGTACACCAGGGCGACCATGAGGTAGCAGACTGAGAGGAATATTATAGGCCTCTCGGGGTACCTGAATAGAATTGTAAAAATTAAATTGAGTCGTGGATCCCAAAAATCAAAAACGCCTTGATTGTCCTTTAGGCGATGGGTATAGAGAGAAAAGTGAGTTGATACAAATTCTTGTCACTTTTTTTTTTATTTCTACTGGTTTTACGTAAAAACAGTAAATGTGATGGAATTTTTTTTTTTTTTTTATGAAACTCACCTGAACCTGTCCGTGTCAATGAGAAATGTGAGAAAAGTAAAAAAGCAAGAAACAGCGCAGAGAGAGGCCCAGGTGCCGACCCACGCTCTGGAGAATCTCCTCTCCTGTTCCGAGAAGAACATTCCATCGCAAGGGGCTCCGCAGTTCCTCACGACCTTCCCCCCGACCTTGAGAGAGTACCCGTGTTCCTCAGGTACACTGAAGTGCACAGGACAGACGAATCCGTGGTCCCTGCCCCCCAGAAGGTCTCCATAAGGTTTGAATCCGTCCCAAGCTGGCTGGAACTCTGGAAGGGGCACCCTGAGAGGTGGCTGAACTGTCGTGGAAATCCTGGGGCTCGTTTCATTGTTTCCAACGCACAGGACGTCAGGATCTTCTCCGTACTCTGGAAGTTTAGAGCAATCTAGACTCGGCGGCCACTGGAATCCAAAATTCTTCATGATCCCTTCGCATCCTGCCCTCGCCCTCTCGCAGATCGATCGACATGGCGGCAGGGGTCGCTCCAGGATCGTGCACACAGGTGCGAACATCAGGCACAGGAAAAACCTCAGATCTGGGCTGCAGTCCACCTTTACCAGGGGCGCGTACTGATGCACTTCTTGACCTGGTGAGCGCAATATTAATAAAATATTACAGTATTAGCGAATTATCTCCGGGGTAACCGGGGTCAGGAAAAAATCGTATGAGACTTTCTTGTCGAAAATTTTGCGAGCTACATATAATTCCTTTCACTTTTTTTTCTAAATTGCATCGTTATCGAGATAATTCAACAATTATTCGACCTAAAAACATTTTCGAATAAGCCGAATTAAATACTATTTTCAGTAATTAGTCAATTACCCGGGTAATGAGCGGATTTACGAGAAAATGTTATTAGACTTTTTTGGAGAGCATTTCGCGATCCCCAAAAAATTCTAATATTATTTTTCTGTATAACCCCTTAGTACTGAGATAATCCAACAATTATGGAACAAGGGGTTAATGTTAAGGGTTGTTCTGAGTTAAATGTTGGGATTCTCACCCGCTTCCTCTTGTTTCTGGTGCTTTAAGAGGTTCGGCATCATCGTCTGGTTATACGGTAGATTTAGACACAGATTTATAGTTATCGGTTCACATCTTCCATGATGCTCTAACTCGTCAGTCATATCCAACCCCGAAGTTCCCACTCTCTGAATACATATCAGGGTGATAACTGTCAAGGGGAGGATCAGATAATTTTTTCGGGGATTGAGGGACATTTTGAGGGTTGTGCACTTGTTTGGGATCACCGAGGGATGAATTCACTCACTGAGAAATGGGCGATCAGCGCCCATTTTCACGAAATCATTCTCGTGGGGTATAAAAGTTTTCCGATGAATTTCCCGAGGATCTAGAAAGTTCTTTCGAATTTCTCGAGGGCTCTGGGGGGATTTTTTCGGTAATTAGAGATAACTGGGGGGTGTGAACTGGAGATAATGAGTGGACGCGAGTTTTATGGGGGTTGAGGAACGCGAGAAACACTTGGTGATGGGGATTTAGTAAACAGACCGTGAAATATGTGATTCTCAGAGTGGGAACCTGTGGGAGAAAAATATCGCGTTGGTCTAGGGACTTCTGGAGAATTCCAGAAGGCGCCCAACGTGGCGGGCTTTTTGAATTGCTTCCGGGCCGCGGAATTTTCGGTAATACAGACTTTTTTTTTCCTAGTTTGTAAATCATTCCCGTTGTGTTATGGCGCTAGTACCAATAATAATAATAATAATAATTAGGATAGGGATAATCATATTAACACCAATAATTATGATTTACTCTTTTTTTATTGTTTTTCTTGATAAACCTTCATTTAAAAAACGATACAATTCAATTTTACATATTATAATTAGTTCATATTAAGTTTTTATGATAATTAATTCCTCCGAATTATCTGTTATCCAGGTGCAGGCGAATTCGACACATGGTGAGACAAAGAGGGTTGACTAAAGTAAAGGCTCAGTTCTGGGGGTTCGAGTGACCCCAGCGACATCGTAGTACTGCACCTCAAGAGAGGGAGGACGCCTCACGCAGTCGGGATGACTGCTCGTCAGCCGACGCGATAACTGCCTCAGTAGCAGTCCCGCTGCCAGAGGGATCAGTCGACGGGGTGAGTGTTATTTTCTGCGTTACGAAATTGGTATTCACTGAAATTTTAAAATTTTATGGAGTCATTTAAATTTTTTGCCCCCATGCGGCCGTTAAGGCCCGGGTGGAGGGATTTTTGCCCGACATGTCCCTAGGAAATTCCCTAGAAAAAACGCGTTTTACGGGTAACTAAATGCCAGTCCCTGTAGGCCCTCAAAAAATATAATTTTTTGAAAATTTTTTGTTGGAAATGATGGAGAATCGTTTTCCAGGCAAGGGTGTAGAGTCTAGGGGGGGTCCAAATTTCAAGGATTTTGCTCTACGACCCATAGGAGCCGAGATATTTGCATTTTTCTGTTTGGA